TGTCGCGTATGTATATGACAAATCACATGTTTCGCGAATTGATAATTTTAATTTGATGTTTTCCTTACTATTATGACGTAAGGCGCTGCCAACATTACAATAATGAAAGTCACACAGTTACGTGGATTTTGATTCGTGTAGGTAATTGATTTGGTTAATACAAAGATTAATGTGGCGAATAGCACATAACTTACGTAGATAAAGTCCAAAAATGTATTAGAAAATGTCTACGACAATGAAATTAAATACGCTGAATTTAATTTATGGAACACCAAATACGCTGCTTCCAGTTTTTAGTTATAAAAATAATATTTGAAGTCACCCTCTCTAAAGCCAAGCCATCAATAAGCTTTAAAAATCCTACTAATATTATAAATGTGAAAATTTGTGAGAATGTATTTTTGTTAGTCTTTCACCAAAACGGCTGGAACGATTTGGTTAAAATTTGATATGGAAAAATGTTGATATAAAAATCACATACAGTTAAAACCACTTCAAAAGCCAATGTTTGGTAATCACACTTCAACATAATCCTTTAAATATTTTCTTCACAATTTTTTTTACAAATATTTATCCACATGTCGAAGACGTCGAATGCTGTGTGCAAAGAGTTTTCGAAAAACAAGTTTTTATTCGCATGAGAGTTTAAATGTGCGACTGCTTGTATTTGTACGACTCAAGATAGACACGTACTAATGCTTACATGACTGACGTCAATGACTCAAAATTTTATATCATTGTTAGTTTTTTCGTTTATTTTGGCAAATCTTCCTTTTTCTTATCATTTTCGTTGTTAAGCCGTGATTTGAACGTGCTTTAAGCGCGTAAAGCAACGGTTCTACGTGATTTAAGATGACGAAAAAAACAGTTTCGATTTTCAAATCTATGACAGTTGTTTCGGAGGCCTGATGGATTGACATAGGTCCTACTAAGAAGTCTCTATCACTCATAATTATAGGAGGCTGTCGGTATGACAGTTCCTATTAATAGCTGAAAAAAAATGCCAATTGGTGAAACGTATTAGATTAGACCAGTTACGTTGATTTTTTTAAATATAAATTTGCCTTAACGTGGGCTACGTTGGTATAATTGATGTTGAAATAACATAATAATCATTTTATATTTTATCTGCGAATGATAGTTAAAGATGTACTTTTACACTTAAAGACTGTTGACATAAGTCTACGATAAAAAAAAGTTATGACACTTCAATGTAGGTATGTATGTATTTAAAAATAAATCTCCTTAGCGTATGTAATCGTAATGTCTCAAGAAGCTTCGCGATTTCACATTACACTGAGATATCAGAGTAATTGAACTTGGTTAACCTCTTCATAGATAAGTTATGAATAAACGGATTGATATGAAAAATCACTGCTATTTTAATTACGATTATGTACCAGATATAGACCTTTGATAACCTTTTATAAGTCAGTGCTGGCATATTGGTGGATTTTTTCATTTTCAAGGTCATATTTACTTAGAAACTAGACAGTGATTTATTCATAATATATTTATACGTAATAAGGAAATAATGTGTTATCCATAAATCGTTGTTTCGGGTCTGGCCTGGGTGGTTTGTGTATGTGACTTGTATTCGAAAATGCACCTACGACTCAAGAGAAAAACCAACGGTAGGACATTTTTTTCAATGCCTTTTTGTCTGTTTGCAGTAAATTAATTGATACGAAATTACTCGGCAGAGTTACAAAATTATTTGGGCAATAATACCTATAGGGTGTATTTTTTAATTATAATAATATTTTACCTATTTTTTAACATAATCGAGAGAAATTCTTTAATTTGAATACATGTTAACATGTTGATATATATGTATAAAAAAATATAATCACGAGAAAACGGTATGGAAATTTAAAACTAATGGTGACTTCAATCTTAGCTGTCCCCACAAATATTTATAGAAATAACATCATAGAATAACGATTTACAATAGAAGAATACTCGTTCTCCTGAGTGAATAAAAAAACAGCTGACAACTGATATTGATGTTTATATATTAAATGGTTAACTTTAGCATTATCCTAGTATATTAATACTCGAAATAATTTATGAAATGTAAAACTTAATAAGCCGCTGCCCGTAATAAAAAAATAAAAAAAGAAAGAATTTAAAATAGATATCAAATTAATTGCATTAATTAAATAGAGAAATATTTCGCATACAGATTTCTATCAACATCAGTGGGTTAAGCTTATTATAAAATGAGTATCCCACTAGACGCTGACCGGTTATAATTACAACTAAACCGTTCCTAGACACGTCTCGATTTATTATGTAGATAGTTATCTCGATCTTTAATTAATATTAATCGCAGCACACCGGTAGCCACCTAACACATCCAGGAAAAACATCCTCATTAAACCTAAACACTTAACCTTAGCCATTTCTTTATAATTATTTCATAACTATAGCAAAAAATCTAGACTTAATACTAACAGATTAGGCTCATTTTAGACGGATACATGGACAAGGATAACTTGAGACTTAACTTGTCTAAAGAGACCAGAAAAAACTAAGGAGGAAAACCGAAAATCCACTTAGCTAAGCCAACTGGTAAAATGAAATATGATAGTAATTTTAAACTTTACTATATCGAAAACAAGTGTAAAAGAAAGTGATAAATACCAAACAAGTACAAATAGTAGGTAGGTACCTACATTGATTTTTTGCACTCAAGCAAAAACTTGACACAAATCTGAAGAGACCAACTACACTTGGCGATTTGTGCAAGCGCCGCAAAAAAGTATTAAAGCGGGCACATTTAGTGGAACACGCTTTTTTCCGTACTCCAACGATAATACATGAAATTCGAGAATACCAGTATACCGTTCCGCTAAGTTAACAAGACCCAATGTGGTTTTTTTTGCGCGAACATTCCTGGAAGGGTGTTTTGGCCCCCGAAAGTACCGTTATCAGAGCTAGATAAGATTTGTTAATCCGTATGACGTCATAGGATATTTTAAATGTACTCAATGTATGAGCCAACACAAAAGTAGGTACTAGTAGTAACTCAGCTCGGAAGATAATTGAAGAGGTCCTATAATTATGTTTTTTTCAAAACTAAGCCTTATGACCTAATATTCAAAGGTGATGATTGCTGATAAATCAAAAAATATGCTATCACTTTCCTATCATATGAAGAATTAACACGTGCCTATACTACGTCTAGTGCCTATTAGATTAGATTATCCAACTTACGTCACACTTTTTATGGCGATTATGACAAGATGAAGTTGACCTGACTCACTGTTGTTAGCCGCAATTACCACCATTGACACTAAGATGAAGGCAATGTTCATAAAAAACCTGTATTTTAATGTAACAAACTAGTTGTGAAAATATTCTTGTCGAGTCATGACGCACACGCATTATTTACATGGATGAATTTCGTTGAATATTTTGTAGTTTAAACTTATTTGAACGCTGCCTCACACTAGCGTTTTAGTCTGTGTCGATGGTGCATTTACAATTATTAAATTTTTCATATTATGCCCAGATCGTCGAAACTGCGAAACTGCGACACATTTGTATAAAAAACACTATAAAATTAGAACTCTCCTAGGCTAGTCATTCTATGAATAAAACTTAATGGTTCAACATAATATCTCAATGAATACCTATCTTTCAATACCTACTGAAGTTAGGAAGTTTCTAAACAGCAATCACAATATCATCTTGAATTAATGCAGGCGCAGGTTAAGTTAGCAACAGCACTAAACTATTAGCCTATCAACAGTGAATATCATTACGGTGTCACTTAAGGAATCCAATTACATGCTTTTGCAACGTTTCGTAAAGGAACACCAGTGTGCAAACGTTCGAATACGCGTTGCACGTCCATAATTGTATTGTATGAGGTAATCTGAATAATGTTTGCAGCATTAAGTCTGACGGTATTGTATTACAATTATTTTGGCAGCAATCAAACAATGATATTGAAAGAATTAATGAAAACAATGTGTCAAAGGTTTTTTGAAAGGAGTCATGAGATCACGCACATGGATAGTATTTTTAATATGGGAATCAAATGTTACAGTAATTTAGCTTGTGGTTTGAATAGGTAGCGTGAAGAAACAAAATCAATAGAACAACCAATCGTTGAAAATACAATGAAGCATCATGTCCCAATTACAGGAAAGGGTGAAATTGTTAAAACAATAAAAGCTAAAACACAACCGCATTCAATTCACTTTAATAGTCATCAATTGAAGACCGATTACGAAAGTATCTCCACTTTAATTAAACCCAATTGCCCCATGTTTATAATCGAATCCTGATCTGACAACAACAGTCGTAAACATAACATTAATATTACCGATGTCATTGTCTCACGAATTAATCGTGAAATTGAATTAGAGAAAAAAAATATGAAAAAACATTTTACACATTAAAATACAAGAATTATTTTACTGAGCAACAGCTGTGGCAAATTGAAAATAAAGTTCATGCTCATCTGACCTGGGTTCATGAACTCTGGTATATCCAGTATTCAAAGTAACTGGTAATATTTAATCCGTACCTTAGGTTTAAAAATCCTAGTAATGTTTATCTAAAGTAACTAATCATACTTATTTTTAAGCCGGACCTTACATTTCAAATACTACTAAATACGTATATAAGTATTAATGAAAAAGTTCCTGCATAGCTCTTTCATTTAAAAAAGCGTCAAGTAATGTCATTTATAAAAGCCATGTAAATGAAAGGAGAGAGTAAATTAAAACAAGCAACCAATTTACATTTTGAGAGATTGCCATCGGTATGAACCAGTTTCTTATTTCACATCTGTTAACGTTCCAAAAACTGTTATAAATGAAACACTCAAAGCAAATGCAATAGTTTCAAGAAAAAGGATAATAATCTTAAAGTTTGTATGAGACAAGTAATCCATCATGTATACTGGACGGATACTTGTTTTCTTTGAAACTGAGTCAAATATATAGCAATGATATTACAACTACATAGTTCTTATATTAGCTTACCTTTTACAATATAGACGTCATCAGTGGAACATCCCACGTCTTGCACTTCTGCAACAAACAAACAAAATAAATAAATTTGCGAGACAATATAAAGTAAAACTTTCGTTGTTTACTGAAAATATCTGTATAATTGGCAAAATAATAAAGACAGCTGTCTACAGTGAAATAATAATAAGAATATTTGCGAGAGAGATATCAAAGAGGCCGAATCAAAGAGTCCATTCAATGGACTGTAATACAAAGGTGAGCCCCTGAACAGATGTTACGGTGCCTGAGGCGAACTATTATTATCGAGTTGTGCAGGTAAAATATCATACGATCTTTACGAGCAATCTTTCCGATTGACGGAGCCATTGCGTGAATGAACTCGCAATAAAAATCTCTATATACGCAATATAAAGTCCATTTTAAAAGAAGTTGCTCTAAATACTAAATCATTTTTTTGCCATCACATAGTTGCCACTTAATTGCTTTCTTAATAAGTGAAATTCTTTGAAACATGAAATGATACTTAATCATTTCAAAATAAAGAGTTAACCTAATTTTTAAAAATCTTCTAAGCACGTAAACGCAGTTAGCAATTTAGGCTTCAATAGCAAGTCTAAGGTTATCTAAGATCGTTCCAACTTTATAGCTTGCACTCGATACGGTCACGGAGTACCACAGGGAGCATGCATAGGTCCATAATTATTATCGTTTATGTTCCGTGGGAACTAAACACCAATTTCTATTGTTTCCGCATCTAATACGATACCCGCTTCCTATGTGATAATATTACGTCGTAGCTTATTAGTTAGATAAACAACAGTATATTATCGCTTCATAATTTTCTTCATTTCCTTGTCTATACAATTTTCTTTTCTTATTTTCCCGTATGGTGAATACCATACGGGAAAATAAGAAAAGAAAATTGCCTTAGCGTCGTTTTCTTTTTATTGCAGCTATATGTTCGACTTTGTACCGGACCTACTCTTATCTGTCATCTGTTTAAATCCTTGATTTACATATTTCTAAAGAAAATAAAAAGATTCCTGCAAGGAATAGAATATTCAATGACGCAGTAAAAATCACCATGAGTCACAAACGTATTTGAAATTACATTAGAAGTGGACTGGTATCACAAAAATGATCGTTGTCTTTTTCAAAAAACCCAAACATGTCCATCTGTTGCTAGACCAGTTTGTTTAACACGGTGACGTAAATCAGTAAGGTAAAGTCCACGTCATAATACCAGCCGTATTTAATGTGACAAGGTTACTGATAATGATAAAGATTGACTTTGATTTGACTTTTTCATTCTAATGTTTACATACATATTCCTCTTAATCAATTTCAAATTAAATGGTATTCTAATTGTTACATTGTGCATTACTTTCAAATGTGTTGCTTTGTTGTGTACCTTCTTAGGTTATTTTTTTTGCATTTAAGAATAGAATTCCGACAAATTGTATTTTTTTAAGTTTATATCAGTATACCGTTTTTGTTTTTCTATTTTTATCTATGACATGTAAGGACCTTTCTATGACAACGTGTCTGATTATTTTATTCTCAACTGTCTAATAGGAACGCTGACTTCACCCGCGTCAAAGTAAACCTACGATGACACATACACATGTAGTTATAACATAATATTTAGCGTAAAATGTAAGTCAGTATGCCATATTGTAGAACGCATAAATTAAAATTTAATTAGATTAAATAAATTCGTTTCTCTTGTGGTTATGTGTGTTAAATGAGAAGAAGATTATACTATTACACGAAGTGTAAAAGCAAATTACCAGTCTAACTATGAATTATAATACCCTCTGGCTTTGTCGGTAGTTAAAATAACGGTGAATAGCAACCGCTGCAAATACCGTACGGGACATAAGCCAAAAGAGGCTGTGAGCTGCACTGGCCTCTTATTGCCAAATTCGGACATCGTTAAGACGAATTCTATGTTACAAAGCGTTCATTAATTATGTTTACTTATGTTAAGATGTGCGTCCCCATTACCTAGTTATCTACTATTAGCATTTATCTATTCAAAGCCAACTTATCCGATTTCTGTAGACGTATCGTCAGCCTTGAAATATAGTGATAACACAAAAATGACAATGACAAAAACGACATCATCCGTTTCGTGACCACAGTTATTTCCCGTTTTACATTACCGTTATAATGCAAGCCTGTACCAAATTGGCAACCTAGACGCCGTGTAACAAGCGAAACGAAACAAGAACAAGTATATAAGCATCAGTTTCTTTTTATTAATACAATATGTTATTGTAATCCTTCAGGCTCAAAAGAACTCTTGTGGTCAGCGTCAAGGGTAACTTGTTGGTTATGCAAGAAAAGATGGAGACAAATGACTCTACCCCAAAGATACATATAAACAACGCACAACGCAATTGACAGTAAAAAAATTAATTAAGTAACAAATAATAACCTTCAACAAGTACCAATACCGGTTAATCTGGAGAGTTTTGTGCATAAATTAGTAGCGCTCATGTTTCTCAGAAGATTTTATGTCATAGTGCTTAACGTGTCGTTGGCACCGTTGAATAGTAAGAACAATCAGAGACAGCGTTGGTCAATGGCAATGTTAGAAATGTCCCCGAGGTGAAAGTCGACAACTTTGCAAATAATAACCGTGTGGGTGGTATTTGCGAAACGGATCATACAAACGTCAGTTAGAAGCTAATGAATGCAACGATCGCGATTAATACAATGATTTCACTTAAGCATTTGGTGATGAATGATGCCGACAAACATGGTCAATGGTACAATTATTAATGCCTACTGTTTCTAACTATGAAGAACACAATGATCAATTTGGAAGCATCAATATTTAAATAAGTAACGAGTTTGACAACATATCACGTTTAAATGCAAATTTTAATGCATTGTACAAATACAAATATATGCAAATCGTAACCAAATATAAGCGCAATCCAATATCGTATGTAAGTAGACAATAATAAAAATAAATATGTACCTACGCAATGCCCAGTTCTTTAACAATTTCTAGTTTTAATTTAATTTTAGCTCTACTCTGCAGCAACCCTTCAACCATAAATGTTATGTTTTTATCCGTGTTTTCTTCTCGATTACTAACCTATACTGTAGCTCATTCAAAAACATCTATTATTATTCATTAACCCTAATCACAATTTACAAACATGATTAATCTGAATTCCATAAGAAATGTAACTTGATAATTGCTTCGTTGAATGTGCACGGTAGTTTATATCGATGGATAAAAAACTGAAGAGCTCATTATTGCTTCCTTAGATTTCTCGGGAGGGGGGTGCAAGTTGTGCAAAATTAGACACATTTGCGGTTGTTTGCAGCCATGCATTAGTGCGTAAATTGCACTAGTGTACGTGTAATCCCATCGGCTACTCATTAGTCTGTGTACAAGTTGCTGCCAGCCGTCGTGGGAACCGCTGCTAAACAACATCATCTGTGGATGACTCCAACCATTTTCTGAAACGGTCCATTTGTAAGGTAAAAAGGTAAAAGAAAGGTAAAAGAAAAGGTAAAAGAAATATTTATCTTATTTTTCTAAACTGTCACGGCTGCTGATGCTCTCGGTTTCGTTCGAAATATATTTTAAGGACCGAAACTAAATAGTTTACGTATTTGCTTTTAAGCTTTACGACTTGTTCTCCCCTAATGGGTATTAATAGAAGCAGCATTCCACTTATATCTCTTATTGTCAACTCCTTTGATAAAATGAGGAAATAATTTAAATTAAATAGCAATAAAAATATGGTCACGTACTTGGTTTTTGATTATTTTAATACACAAGATAACATAGAATTTTCAATTCAAATTAATTCTTTTAGTACAAAACTGCATGGTAGAGAGTTAATAAGTCATTTTGGATAGTATTTGAGTATGTAAATGTGAGCTAGTAACTAACTAGTCGAAAGCTGATAAAGATGTTTGTCGGCACAAGGTCAGTGGGGTGACACGACCATCTGTTGACATAGCAGGCACAAATAAAATATCATGCTAAAATACAAATTTCTAAAGTATAATTCAAATACTCTAGACAAAATAGTGATATAAAGAAAGGTTAGTAGTAGTTAGTAGTAGTTAGAATAGGTGACCAAATGATGAGGCACTAATCAATTGCTTGATAAAGTAATTATGAGTGTCAATCGGCGAACAATTTCTTAAAAAAAATATGAAATATAACGACACAACAATAATATTAATGTGTATGAATAATTTCGATTTATTAATCCAACTGTTGACGAAGGTAATCTCGCATCGATTCTACAAAAACTACCGTTAATACGACACAGATAATCTCCTTATCTCCTTCGATAAATTCTAAACTTTACTCCAGGATGTTATAAACAAACATTACTTAATAAATAGTAAACTTGATAAACTAAAAGAAATAAAAAAAAAGTAAATCCGCAAACATGTGAGGTGCAAAATGATGGTTATTTCCTGTTCAAATAAAAAAGTGTTTAGAAAAACCAATGACAAGATGCAAACAAACAAAAAAAATTTGGCAGCTTAGCTCATTTTCAGAGAATTCGTTGCGTTAAAAATCAGGGGCGTAATAGTAGGTGTGGATACTGATTCACTTCTTTTATTTGTAATGATACTCAGAAACGATACAGGCAAAGAGCCACCTTCTAAAAATGGTCATATTTATCATTAGGTGTTTTTTTTTTTAATTTTTCGCAATGTTTTACTCTAAAATGATGCACGGTATGGATCATGACATCATCTATGTAAATGAGATTGTCATGGATCACTTTCGATTATATAACATCGACCACGTCAATGACACTCGTATATTTTTTAGAAGGAACATCCTGTTTTATATCTGTCATGTTATGTTTAATAGTTTTGTTTGATGCGTCAATGCGACATTAAAAGAAACACAAGTAGCCACTATGCATATACATATGTATTAGCGAGGTTTGATAGTATCTTGATTTAAATTTACTTTATAATTATTTGCAGTGTCTCAAATTAAACCAATCTTTGCAATCGCAGATGTGTGCAAAGATTTTATTCCAAAATCAACAATAATACTATAC